TCGCTTTAACATTGCAGATGCATCTAAACCCATCCTCAGCTTCGGGAGAGCAGCTGTGAAACCACATGTGCTTCCATTCGATATCCGGGCACAAGCCACGTGACAACCGGTCGCGTCCGCTGCCAAAACACTCATCTTTACAACGGATGAGATACATCAGCTCAATGAAGAGCTCCCGGCCACGCCTGGAGTGGCTTCAGTCAATTGCATCTTCGATGGTTTTGCCAGGGGGGTGTTAAATGCAGCAAAAGCTTGTCGGCATGAGATGCAAAATGAATGAAACTCTTTGTAACTGAGATTGCAACTAAATGATTAGAAGTGCGTCTGGGCAAGAACAGCAAGGTCACTCAGTGCCCAGCAGTCTCTTGCATATCTGGCCTGCAGGACTGGGTGTGGGCTACAAGAAAGTGATCAAGCTTGCAAGTTGGGTTGCAACTACTGGCTATGTTACAAAAAAAGAAACATCCAACTACTGTGGATGACTGAGTAGCACTCGCATGGGCAAAAGTTGAATCCAAGGGGCCATGGCAAAAGTGGCAGTTGCACCTTGGCCCTTCGAGAATGTGTGTCTCGTACTTCTCCAATAGATCCTGTGAGAGGCGCTGGAGTCTGTTGGGGGGAAGGCACTTCGCCATCAAGCCCTCTTACAAGGACAAGGATCATCTTTCCTTCACTCAGCAAGCCATTGATTGAAGCAGGATGAAACAAGTGTAAACTTACGTAGCGTCTTTCAGTGATTCTTTGAAGCTCAATGGCCCAGCATTCTCAAGCTGGCCCACAGGTTTCAAGGAGCTTGTGGCACAAAAAAAGTTGGAAAACAGCCTCCAGTTCCCTATTGTGTTTGCACTCACTCCCAGGGCAAAGGGCTACGTTGAACATGGAAAGCTGCTCTGGGCTCTGAGCATTCTGGCAGCACCCAATACACCGAACCATTGCCACATACTCCCAACATCAGACTACATCTGACTAGTTACTAGTAACAAGTGCATCGCTATTAATGGGTAGCTAATTTACTACTAGTAACAAGAAGCTACTAGTAGCTATTTGCTACTAATAGCAATGCACTTGTTACTAACCACACGCCTACTGCCGGGTCCTGAGCAATGCCACGTGCCGCCCCGCGCAAAATCGAGGACGACCTGCAAGTCCGACAGGCGAAGGCGAATGTCCCGGTCTCAAGTGGAAGTCCGGTGGCCAAAAGGATCCAAAAGGGATTGATGCCTTCACTGGTTGTGAATTTCAACGAAGATCTCCAGCATCCCAGGTTCTCCCATGTTCTTTCCTGTGCCAAGCTGCGAAGTATACCCTGAGGCTCGTCCAAGGTCTTTTCAGTCAGCATAACAGGCATCAACAAGGAAACGGTTCAATGACACTTAATCTATCATCGCTTGAATTGAAGGCATCAGTCTGTCAACTCTGAAGCTTGAAGAAAAAGTGAGACGTCGTTTGTCGCTACTTTGGCCAAGAGACCAAATCTCAAAGAAGATGCAGGCGGCATCATCCCCGATTTCTATCTGAGCACACAAAAAATGGTGCAAGCACTGGCCGGAAATGTTCGCTTGTGTCGCAACATCATGCGACCGTGTCCACAGTTGTCAAATAATGTTGGACAGTGAAAAGGATGCCGTTGCTAGGTAAGAGGCACAAAGACAGCACATACAACGCCGTTGTGACAACGGGTGATCCATGAAATCTGGCTGGATCTGGTGTGACCGCGGAAATGCATCAATGAAAAAAAGAAGCCGTTTGTGCCCTTTATCAAATTATCTATCTCGGGCTCATAGAAAGGGGCTTGCAGTACATGTCCGCCGGAAGTCAATGAAACGCGCGTGTGTGGATACATGTATGTGTATATATATATATATGAGGATACTCAGATATGTGTATATATATATACATAATACATACATATATATATATATATATGTGTGTATGTAGGTATACTATTTGATGCATTTTGACATTTTGATACTCTTTTATAGTCCTCTGATAAACTTCCTGTCATGTGACAAGGGCAAGATGTCGGTCGGCAGTCAAGAACTTGTGCATCCACCGCATGCCCTGCCAGAGTTCACACAATCAACTTAACTGGGTTCTGAAGACTCACATACTCACATGCCTCAAGTTCTGCAAGCCCAGGAGAAAAACACAAAAACACGTAGAAATTGTGGAGCGTCCTCCGTGTCCTTTCTGGGTCTTACGAGTACCTCCATTCTTTGAGCACCACCGAAATGCCTTCACTGTGCACATGGCTTTGCTCCGCCTTGAGGATCGCAGCGTTCCGACGATCGCGCAGATCCTTGACACTGTGCCAGCGGCCGAAGTAGTCCTGAGAAGAACGTGTTCAGGCGACAGAAAAGGCCACGCTTGTGACTAGAAAGAAGGCGTCAACCTCTTGTATAATACTAATACTATCAAATACTGTAGTATCCTGCTAAACCAAGTCTGGAACCCAACAACGGTTGCAGTTGTGCCACCTGTGCTAGCTACAAAGGCAAAGAGAACCTGGAGACATCTGGAAGCTCGAAAAAAGGCACCGAGTGTTGTCCAACGTTCAGCGACCGGTTCTTAGGCCGTTGCTCAAATGAAACCAGGAGTGGTCACAGCCGCACCTTGCATTTGTGATCTTTCGCTGTGGACAAACGTGCTTCAGCCTCAGCTCGCAGCAGTTCCAGGTGTGCCCGATTGGAATCAGCTGAGCAATGGTATGTTTGAATGTTGATTGACTCATGAGCACAGGCAAGAGCACCCTCCAATACGCGTGAACACAAAAATTGCATTTTGTTAACAATGTTGTGTTCGTCTTTGTGGAGAAACGGATTGGCATCAACCAACAGGCCCTACCCAACAAAGCGCGGGTGTGCCTGGTTTCTGCTATTCAGCAGCATGGGCAGCTTTGGAGTCGAACGCAGCCTGACACCAACCGCTCCCCAATTATCTATATGTATACAATTGTATATATATATACAAGATTTTAAAAGTTTGCTCAATATCTTGTCATATTATGTCATATTGGTCTTCTCCCCACCAGAAGTTGTTGTGTGCCGGCCAAATAGGATTGGAACTCTAGCATGGACAGCAAATCAAGAACGTTCATGGACCATCATGGACCACGAACGTTAAAAGCTCCTTTCTAAAGCCTTCGTTGACCTTCTCACACGTTGAGGAGCGTTCCAAACAAACCCCAAAACTCCTCAACAGTCATTGATGCTCCATAGGTTCCTCATGCTTTCAAGCTGATCCAACCCACGGCACTCCGCACGCTTAGGCCAAAAATACGAAATGCCAAAACGGGGAGGAGAAAAATCATAAAGGCATCTTCGGGCTTTGTTTGTGCGAACGTTGCATCTCGACATGTCGCTCAATGTCAATCCTTTCCACAAACGAATTGGATTTCAAGAGTTTGATCAAACGCTGAACCGAGCGAAGCAAGTCGATCGCTCCATGCCTCTCAAGAGATGGTCTGGAACTGGCAGATCCTGCGGTCTCGAAGCATGAAGCTAAAACTAGGAATGGATAGGCGGAATGGAATCAATATTGATCAATAATTCATTTGCAAAGTGTTCTGCCAACAGCTGTCAGCATCATTGGAGGTTTGTGAGAACTTGTGGGAGCACCTACAACTTTCTACGGCCCATTTGGAATCTTCTGCAATCTCCAAACTTCCTAGCTGGCCTTGCAAAAGCTTCAGGAACCTTCCGGAACACACCCCGAACTCGCTCAAACCTGCCGCTGTTGGGAACTGCACCTGAAACCAGAATCTGAAGTCCAAAACCTCTGACATATTCTGACATGCACTTCCCGAAGAGCGTCCTCTCATAAACTCCGGAATTTCATCTGGGTATAGTCAGAGGATGTCAGAGGCATGCCCCCAAAGGCCACCAGTGCAAACTGCACAATACCGGTTGTTGGTGGAAAAGTGGCCACGTTTCCTCGTGGGCAGGCCCTTTCTCGAGAGCATCGTAAGCGTGTCTTCATGTCAGTTCTGTGCCGGTCAAGCGTGGGTGTCATGTGTGGCTCCTTCCGCCATCTCGTGGACCTGAGGAACGTGCCTATATATAGGATGCGATGGCCTTCAACCTACTAGCGATATCTAGCGATGGCCTCCAACCTAGAAGCGAAGAGAATGTGCCTATAGGAAGACATGAGATATGAGATGTCCCGAAAACCACTTGGACGTGAAAAAGGCGTGGACTGGTCCTCTTCATAGTCTTGCCAAAGGATTCCACAATTTAATCTATGTTCATCTATTTTCCACAACAAACTTCGATGGTCATGCGGCAAAAAGGCAACTACACTATCCACACTAGCTCTCAGCTACTCTGTTTGTGTGGTTGCATTACTGCAAACAAATCCTCAAGTAGCAATGGTCTTGCAAAAGAATTCTTGCCTCTCTTGTAGTTCCTTTGAAGCATGATCATCCAAAAGTATCTCACAGTTTAGGAAAGCGATTGAAATTGATGGAAATTGTTCATCTACACTTTCCCAGTCAACTTCAGTCCGACAATTTGGCGACAGAAACTCCGCAGGCCAAGGCACGGCGGCCAGCTGAGAAACTGGTGTAGGTCCATGCAAGGTGACCGGGAAAATAGGAGCTGTCTGATGTCGAAACGTAGGGCCTTTTTGTACCGCATTGTATGATAATATACGATACATTCTGAGTCATCAAAATATGTCAGGCTGCATTGATAGTATTTGATAGTTCCTTCACTTCTTGACTCTCTGGGCTCGCCGAGGAACCATCGGACGAAGAACTTCAGACAATCAAGTCTCTCTAGCTTCGTCAACTCGCGTTACAGTAACTCTTGAGCTCATTGGCGGCTTCGTGGTAGCTGAGACTTCGCACTTCAGTTTTGCAGATCTTCGACGCGATCAGCATACCCAAAGAAAATGCTGGCCCATCAAGTACATACTATCACATTTGGATACATTTGGTTCAATGCATTGGCTCAGTCGTACCTTGCGCCCCTCACGCGCCCCTCACAGGCACCAACCCGCGCCTTCCAGGTGATTGGGTAGCTGGCCGTGACGTCCGTGCCTGTGGGAGCTAAGGCAGCTACCAGCGCATACCAGCGCTGCCAGCTCTACCAAGCTGCCTTCAATGAACTTCTGCAGCTGCAAAAGCCAAAAACATGTTTGTTTCCATATCGATTGACTCAACCGCCAGAGCATTTGGAGAACTCAAACATATTGCCGCGTGACAATCTTGGATCCTCAAATCTCAGAACTGGACTATCCCACCTTGGGCGCTGGTCCACGCTCTACCTGAGGGCTGGCCGACCTGTGCCAAGTCGACCAAAATCAAGAAGTTTCTCCTTTTAAAGCGTTCATGTCACAAATGGTAGGGACCAACACCCCAGTCTCGAGTCCCACTAGTGAAAAAAATAATATTGCAAGACGGGCACCAAATGCTTTGGATGGTTGTTCTCTCGTGGGTAATTACTCCTTGCACAAGAATGAATCCTGCAGGCCTGGCCACTCTGCGTGCCATGGGCAAGCAGCTGGAAAGTGAAGGTATTGTTTGGCTTGAATCATCTTTCATTCAATTCAATGGTTCCTGCATGCTCCTACTCACGAAAATGTCACGGCAGATTGATTGAGTGCAATCGGCCCCTAAGTCTACGGTGTGACACCACAGTATGATAGCCAATTGGCATTAAATTGGCATCTTGCGCATCTTGTTTGCCGCGGTTCAGTCGGTAGCCGTGCATTTGCACCCAAGTCATCCTTGAATATCCTTGATCTACATATGCAAATGAAAAAGTATCCAGTGCTTTTCTACAAAGCTCTGAGTTGGAGCCAGCATCGGATGCGAATGAAAAAAGACGTCTGAAGACCCAAATGTTGGTCTTGCGGGGTTGAATCTAATTCTGTTGCGCAATCTTTGTTGCTTAGGTTGAACATCCGTTCAGAAGTCCAAAGGCAATATTGAGCTCATTGAGTCGCTGGAGCTTCATTGGCTAGGATATGATGCCTGGCACATCCTTACCCACAAGAAAAAATGGCGGCAAGACCTAAAAGGGGATGTGTGGTATTGCTTTGGTACCTTCTCCAACGGCAGTGTTCTTTTATTCTCCAAATCTCAGCTGTCCAAGGTCTATCCAGCCACTGTTGACCTACCGAAATGGGGAGGTCAACCTACTCTTGCTTTGAGTTTTTGATTTGGGTTTTGAACCACAACCCATCTGTGTTCATGACGATTGCACTTCTCCTGCCTTAGCAACCTCGAGAGCAGCCCATGCGCATGACCCACGGACCCGTGTGGCCCATACTGCGTGTTCAAATGCCTAGTCCCCGTGATAGGTTGATGGAGAGTTCCAAGGCTTTGAGTCCATTCGGGCGCTCAGAATTCGTTGCAACAAAATGCATATTCGATGGGTCTGTTTCCAAATGCAGTGTGCACAATAGTTCAAACACAGCCAGAAAAACTGTGAATGTTCAACGACTATGTGACTATCTGGCATGAGTTCGCTCTTGCTCTAAATGACAATTCAGTATTGATTATTGTCTATATTAGTATATATATATACAGTGTTTGTGCCAGAATGCCGTGCTTGTCTCTACTCTGCCCCCCCAGTTTCCATGTATGTGCACAGCCAGTATGCAGTCGTGAAAACTTACTACATCATAGATCTATGTAAATCGTGCTTCTTGCAATGACAAGCTTTTGTACAGTGTTCAAAATCTTGAGTCAGTCCCTTCCAACGGCCCATACCGGCTTTGTATCATATCACCTTTTGTTCCCTCAGCAACTAACTAGCAACAAACTGACTATCTTCCCATTCAACTGAGCCAGCGCACCAAGCGATGTCTGGAAGCAGGAGCTTGCATTGTGTCTGCAAACAGAATGCCATAGTCCTGTGCTCCCACTGACTTCGATTTTCATGCGCATTGACCAAAACCAACATCAACATCACCACCCCGTTTCCCCCAGTCGAGGGGCACCAAGACCATAACGTGAAGGTGTGAAGAGCAACATTGGCAACTGGGGTGACGCATCCGGATCACCAAGTCTGAGGAGCAAAGGATCGTTCGTTTATTTCTCGCTTTCTCTCACCCAGCGCATACCGGCAGTGCTTGATGTACGTGAAATTCCATTGAGGTGCGTGGCAGCAATCTTGTTTCATCTGTGGCTAGGTGGTCATCCCAGTCCAAAGAAACTTTCCATTACTGCTGTTATATACTTGTTTTGGTGTCGAGTCGGTTGGTCATTGGGGACCATCGACCCCCATGACCCTCGAACCCTCGAGCCCGAGGGCTCCCCGCATCTGATTCGTACAGAGGTGACCTTTGCCGGCAATTGGCAGCTTGGTTGCCTATCAGTGGGACAGGGCCAGGAAGACTGATGAGCCAAGCACGGAGATGGAAGATGGAGCAAGTCAGTACAAGAAAAACCATTCCAGGAGTCACAAAGGGGTGCCTATTGGAGGTTAGGGGTGCCCATTATCCACTCACTTAGGGACCAAACACCACCCCTTTGTGACCCCTGGTTCAAGAACCTATATAACGGCAGCCACTCCAGATCGCTCTCGGAGTCTCTGCGCTGCCAGGGGGGCATCCTTGTTTCCAGGCTCACCGTAGCCTGTGGAACAAATGAGGCTTCATGATATATAACATGGTCATGGTTCTTGGGATTCATAACTCAAATTGGGGCTTTCGCAACCTTTGAGTTTCGTGAAACCGCTGCCCGATCGGTTTCACAACCTGATCATCTTTGTTGACCCCCAACCATCGGATGACCGGCATGATTTTTTGGAAGTTTCTTCCTTCTTCCCCACTGCAGGTGATGGTTTCGTTGGCGAGGACTGGCTGGTTTGGATAACTGCCAGGCGATCACTGGACCCTGACATTTTTCTCAGGTGGAGAAAGGCCCCCCCCTGGGCTGCGACCACAAACGCAGTTATGACCCTTAGCTGGGCTAAGCCGTGCAGTTGCTGTAACTGCTGGCTAAGCCTTGGCATCCTCAATGCTTCTGGCTGTGCTGCTGCCGGATCTTCCGTTTGTGGCGTTGCGCTTCCCATTTTCAATACGATTGTGCGTATATATGCGTATATATAATTCCGTGGTAATGTTTGTTCCCTATTGGTGCCGTTCCCGGTGTGAGCCTAGTTCTTCTCAGAATCTTCTCAAATGGGGTTGGATAAATGTTGAGCGTGACCGGAACAAACATGGACAAATGATGACAAATGTAAACATGTAAACATGGGAATGTGTGTGTGTGTGTTCACCGTGTTCGCGTTTTTAAGTGCGGGGACTTTGGTGATTGGTGTTTGGTTTAGCCCCTTGTTTTGCAAGCCGAGGCCGACCAATGCTAGGCCAGTGCTGGAAAGGGTCAGTCACTCCTATGTGTTTCTTGGCTTCATTGTGATGAATCATGGCAGCTTTGGGCGGAGACGGTGTGGCACTCCAAGATGTGGTTATCACACCCTCGAACTTGGCAGCGTGAAACAAACTTGGACAAGGACGAAATCGAGACCAGCGGCAATTGAGCTGAGGTTTTTTCTTCATTGTCTATATCACCATCATAGTATTTGCGGTCATTCGTTCCTGGCCAGCACAAACGGCTTTTTCTCGTTCGGTTGAAGCTTAAGATGTGACAGTGTTGGGCCTCGTTCTTGTTCTTGTTTGTGCACCTGCATTCACCGGCGAGTTTGCAAACTACAGTAGCCCAACTTCGTGAAGCGGCCAGAAGTGCAGCAAGAAAGTCACTGGATATCTCCGTGATAGCAAAGTCCTTTGACCCAACGCGTCTCCTCCCACTCGGGCATATAGCACTGCGCCAAGAAGGAGATAATCAGCCTGAGGCTTTGCATGGCCATGGACTCCCTTTGAGGTTCGAAGCGTCAAGATGTCAATTCCCAAAAATCAACCTCACTCAGTGGATCTAAATGGTGCCCTCTTCGTGAAGAAAAGAAATGTCTGCCAAGAGTCAGAGCTATGAGGCTGCGGGTCCAGTTGTGAAAGACCTCAACTGCCAACTTTTCATGCCGAAACGGAGAAACTAAAACGATCCTAGGTTTGTCTTTTGGTCCAGTATTCATACAAGTATCATGTGTCAAAACAACACTCTCTGTCTAGAATAGGTTGCTCACCACAAATCCAGCAGCTTGTTACGTGGAACCTAGATTCCGATGGATCCGAAGGTGGAGTGGAGACTCCCACCTGCCAAGCGATGGTCAAGGCGAATGCCAGAGCTGGAAAGAAGATCCAACTCCTCAGAGTCTCAGTCTGTGGTCAGGTCTAGATTAGATGGATTTATACACCAAACACATACCGAACCAAGAATCCTGCCCGGTTTACCGTTCGATCCCAACAAAGTCTTCACTGAATTGGTATATTAACTACTCCATCCATCAAGTTCACACCTCCGTTTTGTGTCAGCAAAACACCAAAGGACAAAGCAAGTCTTCATGGCACTTCAGCCAAGTGACTGCTCTGGTTTCAATGGCGAGCCACGCCGCAAAGCATACCTCGGAAAATGGTTGGCAGTGAACCCCTGCGTGGCAGCCGTGCAGTTGATAGGAGAACGTCGCATTGAGAACTCGGTCCTGCCAGGTGCTTCTGTCCCTACCAACGACCTACGTCATGCTCCTGCTTGACTTACGTTCCACAGCTTTGCAGGTGAAAACAATGCAGATCTGGCACCCGCACTCACGGGCATAGATGCCTTTGTCACAGGGTGGCTGAACTGCGCCAGCCGTGTTGCGCAAGCCAGTGTGTCAATTTGGTCCTGTTGGCGTCCATCAATAGTGCGTACTTTAAAACAAGTTGGGACATTCATACAAGATACCACAGCCAAGTCTCCCAACAGTTTAAGGGACCTGCGTGCAAGAAGGCTTATGTCCATATGCCCCAGGCACCTCCAAACGGTTCGTAAGCTCTGCGGCCTCTCGCACACAGCTCAACGAGTACTCGGCGAGGGTCCAAATTCTGTAAAGTTAACTCTCATGCCTAAACTCTTGATAGAAGCCAACTTCTATTCTATGCTGTATGTAAGCGTGTACGGGGAGGAAAGGTGCTATTGCCAACACCATACCACGTGCCTGTGTCTATGTGCGTCACAAATAGAAAGTGAAACCTGCTTCACTTCTGAGATCCATACCGGAAAGACAAGGACCAGAAAATGCAAGCGAGGTGCCAGAACTCACGTGGCTGGCCGGGGGGCACTTCCCCAAGTATTAGTTCACCTAGATGTTGGAACAAAACTTGTTTGTCAAATTCTGTGATGTTTTTCCACACACGTCACCTCAGTTTTGAGGGAGTTGAAGACTTGTATGGAATCATGGCACGCACAATGTAATTTGACGAAAGCAAATTTTGAGGACATGTTTGCTGCTCTGGAGTTCTTCGTCCTCAACAGCGAAGCTCAGGGATCTTTCAGCCACAGCAAAATTTGATTGGAGCAGGTCCCAGAGCAGGTTCCGGAACAATTTCTCCATCAGGTTCCGGACCAGGTTTGGAGCAAGCTCCAGAGCAAGTTCTGGAGGAGTTTCCGGGGTTTCCGGAGAAGGGTTTGATGCAGGCTCCAGAACAATGTTCCGGCGCACTTTGAAGATATGCTGACATACTGTTCTGCTCACACTGTCATGGCCCAATGCTGTGACATGGGACGCAACATGCTAGCATGCACATAGTGTCACGCCAATGTGCTGACATGGTGTCACGCTAGCGTGTTGGTGTCGTCACGTTGATATGCTGGCACACTAATATGCCGACACGCTGTCACGCTGAGATGCTGAAACCAGGTCATGCTATGGTGCTGGCATGGTTCTAGGTCTCTAGGTTCCGTTGCCATGCTTGCACATATGTGGGTAGATGTGCTACGCCGACAATTTTTTTTGATACTCGGATAACACATTGAAAGGTTCACTAGTTTCACAACAGTATTGTCTGGCAAAGATGCGATACCTGTTGGTGAACTTGCGATGTTGCTATTGACAGGCAGATTCATGCCCGGCTGTTGGGATTTTTCCTGGGTTTGTCCATGAGAAGCAAGAGAGAGAGAGAGAGTGAGAGTGAGAGTGAGTAAGGGCTTGGCAATTTAGCCTGTGCTTCGTACAACTCCATTTGTATGTCGGATTAAAAAGAAACTGTATATATATATAACTATATAGAAAGATGCAGCAATCCTTTCTTTTGTTCCACTTCGCAGCGGGTTTGTCAAAAATCGATAAAACAACGCAGCACAGACAACTCACGAGTCAGTTCAAGGACCCCCGTCCCATGAAAAGCTAGTCCCATTCACCCGGGCTACTGTCAGTGTGCACGTAACGCCAGAGCATTCGAGTTGGAACATAGTAGAAGCGCGTTGATCCTGGACATCGTGCTCCGTAACTTCCTGGAGCTGGTTCGACCTCTGGTCAACGCACGCAAGCAAACAAGCGAACCCGTTGAGCGCAACACGCGTACTCCTCGGTGACGTTGACGTTCTACCCTCCAACGGACTGCATTGAGGATGGCCCTCAACTCCAGAGAGTTGGTATGTTTACGACCCCCGGATCCATCTCCATCCTGACACAATGCGCCAGCGCCATAAGCGAGAGGGGCCTCAGGCGGTGAAATTTCACGAGCTGCATACTCGGTGTGGAGATGAGAATGTCCTCGCCTTTCAGGCTGATGAGGTTCCCCAACTTACCGGCTAATTGTTCTGCATCTCCTCGGGTCGACTTCACGCTCCGAATCGGCATCCGAACCCGCCGTCCTGGAGCGAGGCACACCCCCCCTGGCATGCACTTGTCCACTACATCTTGAGGGGTCATAGGGTCTGCCATCCCGAGTTGAAACAACAATTGGTTCAACAACCACGCAATTACAGGCATGCTCCACGTATTCCCCATGTAGTGTAAGCCGAATGTCATTGTACCCCACCTGTTTGCGCTCCGACTTCCCCGAACAGGCCGCGGTGTAGTGGAGCGGAAAGCCAAGCATCATCTCTCGTTCCGCTGTGGAGGGCACCCGGTAGTACCCCTTCTTGTTGCACACACAATGCAATTCCTGGTGTTGGTACGGCGGGAAACGGTGAAGATCATGCCGCCAGCGGCTTATTTCCTGCTCAGAGCACTTACTGAGGCCAGCAGGCTTTCGCCCGGGTTGCTTCGAAGGAGGTGGTGGGAAAAGGTCTGACAGGATCAACTTTCTTCCAACCCGGCTCCAGGACGTCCTCAAGCCCCTGGTCTGCCTTTAACTTTAGAGTCCAGGTTGAGAGCACGCTGTGTGGTCAACAGTTGCTCCTGCGTCGCGCGAACTCGAAGTGCTCGTTGAGTCTTTCTCGGAGGGTCCGGACTTGTTGTTCTTTGCGACGCGCCTTCTTTGCAACCCTCTTGCGCACCTTCTCTCTCGGCTCCAGTCCGGTCCCTGCAAAAAGAGCTGATAGCTCCTTCATTGCCGCTGTCCTGGGCCTTCGCCCACTCAAGTCGACACTGCTCGGTGAAGACCTGGCTGCAACTGCAACTGCGTGCTTCCTTCTTGGCCTTCTCCTCCTTTTTGGGCTTGACGCCCCGATCGGGGGAGTTCCGACCCTCCTTCTTCCGCTTCTTGTCCTTCTTTGGGCGGCTCTTCTTTTTGTCCTTCTTCCCTTTCGAGGAGCGACCTCGCTCCCGCCCCTCGACTGCCTCAGCTGCTCCTCCAACGGTCAGTCCTTCGCCTCGGGCTCGAAGATTGGTGAGGTCGTCCTCTGCTGGGGGGACGGAGACGAAATTCTCTACCCAGCCTTCTTCTTGATCCTTTGGCTTCATCAACCTGGCCTTCACGATGTGCGACAAATCATCTGCTACCCAAGCGCCCGTGCACTCGGGGCTGCATCGATGAGCTCGGATCAGGCCAGTTGGATTTCCGCTGACAAAGCGCAGCAGATTCTCGTTGCTGGTGCCGCAAAGTTGTTGAAGGTGAAGGTGAAACGTCCCCCCCCATCTATGTCCACCTTCTCGATAGTGCTAGCTGCTTGGCACCGTAGGTGCCCTCCGTGACAACCAACTTCACTCCTCGGCCTAGAGCTTCCAGTGGCACACTGTTCAACACCAACTCGTGGCCCGCCAGCCACTGCTCCCGTTGCCCAGGAGCCGGAGCCACCGCAGGCCTCCGCAACACGCCTCTCCTCTCAATGCTGCCGTTGCCGCTTTGGGTTTGGCCTTGGCCTTCACCCGACCTTTTGCTTTTGGCTTGGCTTTGGGTGGCATGACGTCGATCAACGGCGCCAGTTGCACACCCGCAAGCGATGCTTAACTCCTTTGGTGCCACGTGGGCGGCGTTGATTGTACCGAAGTGGACTCCGGGATGGACTTCTGGCTCTCCTGTGGCCTGACGACCTTGAGTAATGCGGTGGAGGATAACTTGGTTCCACTGGGCCTGTCCTGACAGGTGCAGGTGGTGGAGGTGGCAATCTGGCGAAGTGGTCCGCAACAGATCTTTTTGGTACTGGGGAGAGTGCCAGGAATGCAGGGTCAGACTCAATGTACCCTGACCAGTCTGGTTCTGATTCCTGTGGTGCTTCCGGCTTCGACCTCTTGGTCTGTCGCTCGTTCTCTTCCGTCTGACCTTCTTGTCCTCTTTCGCACCTTCCCTAGGCGATTTGTGCTTCCTTCTCTTCTTCTTTGTAGCTCCCGTACCTGGGCCAGGAGCCTCCTCCCTCTCTGCAGCCTTGTCCTTGTCGGTCTCACCTGGTACCGCGTCCTTCTCGCAATCTTCGACCTCTGCAAGGGGCTCCTTGTCCTCCTCGCTGTCAACCTCACGCGTCTCACTCTCTCCTGCTTCCCGCACCAGGAGCGATTGGGATAACCTGTGGGGAAATCACAGGAGGTGCGTCCGCTGGAGCACGTGGAGGTAGAGTCTCAAGATCCACGCCTGTGGAGGGTTTGCAGCTTTCCTCTCAGCGGCTAACCTCGGCGCGGCCACCTCCGCAAGGTCCAAAAGTGCCCCAGCTGCAACCCGCAAGGTGGTCAAGGCCTGTTGCTCTTGATCCTTGACCAGTAGGTTACCCTGAACAAGCTCGTGCAACCTGTTCACGGTCCTGCAGCACAGACACAACCGATGTTCCCCTTTATCAAAAAGCCCGCACCTAGTGCAGGCCATGCACCGGGGTTCTCAGCTGAAGCCACACACTACGGAACATAGAAGAAATGAAGTGCATCTTAACTTACGGGGGCGAAAGAACATGTGTGTGTGTACATCGGCTAGGCGTTGGGTGGGTGCAAGCTCTCACCGGTCTGCGAGCCAAGTTGTGATGCTTGCATGGAAGCACAGGATTGTGGCCTACCTGTTTGAGCCTTCGTGTTCAAAAATCCTAGCTTTGGTGAGAGGAACTCATGAGCCCAGATCTTGGGCAAAGGCGAATGCTGAGGGGCAAATTTGTGAAACGGTACTTTGTTAGGAACATCTATTGTTTGTTAAAGACAAATGTCCTCTTCGCAGACTAGCCTTCACTTTAGATCAGTGATAATTTGAAGTTTGACAGGGTGGGATCATCTGTCCACTTCTTACCCACCCTGCCCGCCTGTGCGACCAAGTCCTACAGCGAGGGCGGCCGGAAAGGCCTGGTGTCGCCAAAGCTTAACCTGCGAGTGGCGGCGTTGAGCCGAAGAGCATCTTCTTGAAAGAGTTTTCACCGTGGCTCACCATCCGAAAGAGTCCAACAAACATGCGGATTTATCCCAACTAAGGTGCCCCTCACTGTAGACAGCGAATTCAAGGACGGCTGTTCTGACAAAGACCCATTGATGTGCCATGACCCTTTACCAAGCCTGACAACGAATCGGGTAGAAACATATGTAAAGTCACCATAAGCCACCTATTGCGGGCTTGAACAGGGTAGATCTTGGAATTTTGGGTTCGAACGTGGCTCGATTTCACACTGACTGTACCCATCAACCCATAGCTGTTCATCCATATTCCCTTTGCTGGAGACCTGCCTGCGGGTTTCCCCAGTCTTTGAGATAGACCCACGCCCAAGTCCAAGCTAAAAATAAAGACTATACGCTTCCGAATGATCATCTTTTCCTTCCCCATGCTCTGTGAGAGCACAAACAAAACAGTCTTAATCGCTTCATGCTACCCTATGGTCCAAAGTTCTGTCTCTCCTCTGTTTCGTTCAATGGAGAGACCCGCACAAGCAGCGCTGGTGAAAGCGAGTATGGACCAAAATGCCATTGGTCTGGGAGAGCCTCTCCGCCAGGAGACTACCATGACTACCTTAAATCCAACGAATTCTGACCAAGGTAGAAGAATGTTCTGATTCCTGTCGAATCCTCAAACCAAACTTCAAACTCCTCTGAAATTCATGGCCTCTTGAGTCACAAAGAGCCTGGAACACGAAATCCAACGCAAGCCCATTTGAAGAACGCTGAACGGATCTTCAGATTTCCCACCCAATCCAAACGACGTCTCTTGAAAGACGGATAGTGACCTCTGGTCGATGGGACGAAAGGGGATGGTTCTGAAATCCTGAGCTGTGTCCAGCATGTGACCTGGCAAAATGTTGCGTCACTCGCAGTCCTCATGCCTCTTGCACTACTCAATCACTCGTAACGGAAGGACCAAAGCAGAAACTATCCACTCGCTGAAAGCCACACGAACACGATTCTTATATACAAAAAAAACAAAAAGTGTTGTTTGCATTACCCGACACATATGTTCAGAAGCTGTGTGTGTGTGTGCGTGTGACCGTGACCTCTGCCCTCATTATGACAAAGATATACTCTCCTTCGAGTCTAAAGGGTGTGCTGCTTAGCATAATAACATGAAAAGTATCCCGAATTCCTCCAGATGAAAAGCTACAGAACTCCTTCCAGGGCAAGTCTCTCAAGTCACCCGCACCTCACATCCACAAAGCGAGCTGAGCGGAAGTGGAGTGGTGAGGCCAGCAAAAGCGCCATGAAGCCTTTTGGGAAGGTTTTGTCTTGCCGCACCTGGTAAATGATTGCCTTGTTGGCATCAACCTGCATGCAACTTGGCCCAGTTGTGTGGGCGGTAAGGATCTGCTCACTAGAATTCTGTGACATTCATCCGGAGAGAAACAAGTTGGAAAGGGTTCACCAACTGGGCCAAAGCCTTTCACCTTTCACACGCCTCTTGCCTACTCGCATTTGATGATACTGGGACTTCAGCCAACATGTCACTTTACTTGCAGTATATATATATATATATCCAATGGCAGGATCTTCGACGTTTGTTCATGAGCCATGTGAGAGCTTCGGAGAATGATCTGAAGGTTGCCTTAGGCGGTGCGTGTATATCATCGTTTCAAAAAGCACAAGTCCACTTTGCACAAAGAGCGATTCTGGTCTGCCAGTTCTTCAACTTCCTCTGGTGAGGAGCTACAGTAGCTTGTAACAAACATCTGATTGAGATGATTGGTCCCTTGACCAAAAAAAAGACCCCGCTGATTCTATATAAAGTATATATGCAGCACACGGCCTTTCCTCTCCGCCTCACAGAAAATCGCTTTCAAACGGCTGTTGGACGTGAGATGAGACACACCGCTCGTTGGAGCAAGGAAGAGTTCTCTCTGCGGAGATGTCCACATTGCATTCTCAGCTTCAACTGGTTGGCCTTTTGGTTCTCGCTCTGTACTCTATGTGCAGATCAATCAGGGTATGCTGTTGTATGCCCGTATGTCGTATGACGTCGTATGCATAAGGCGCTCTCAATCGCCAGGCAAGGTCGAATACAAGAATGAGGACTGGATCACGAGGATGGCAAACCAGCTCAATGCAGACTTTGCAGAATGTCTGGCATCCCGATAGGTCAAGGACATCAAGTACACCATTGCCACCTGGGGCCGCCGCACCCGCTTTTGCCCGCGCTTCAATGATGACATTGCAAATGCAAAATATACTATCCTGAGGTTCTGACGCAAAAGCCTTTTGTGATGCACTTGGTCAAAGCAGAGAATTCATGTAGAAGTAGATTTCCAACAGTTGCGTCCAGCAATAGCATGAACACCAATGCCACAGTGCGCCGGTCCCAAGCATCAAAAAAATCCACCCGGCCGCCGTTCTCGGTCACAGAAGTTCTCGTTCGGATCACAAAAAGCCATGAGAATCCTCAGAACGGATAAGTTTGAGCATTTGTGCGAATCTGCCACTCACACAACCATGTTTGAGTATATTTCTTGTGATTGTGGGACTTCATTCAGGAATGTACCAAAGTTATCCCAAGCTCACACAGGAATGGATGGTTCGTCCCGATCAAAATGTTCAAAGCAAATGGATCATCAAATAGCCAAACTAGAACGTGTCAGAGATTCTTTGGAAAAATGGACAACTCTGTCATGTTCAGCTTTAGGAGAGTGGCAAAATGAAAGAGTTAATGACCAAATAGCCAAAGTCCTCTGCAACGAACTTGGCAAAAAAGTCCAGTTCTCCACGTTTGTATACCCACTCCGCCAAAGTACCACCAGCTGAGTTTAACAATACCCAACCTGAGTTCACGGTCCATGGCATCATACTGTCAAGCAAACCAAAGAAAGAACTCCTGGGTGACATGTGCTGAACTGAAGCCCTGTTGTCCTCAAACAAATACACTGCAGTCAAGTTCAAGCACAGATGTGGTAGTCAAGCCAAACAAGAGATTAGATGTTGGTCAAATTTTAGCCCAACAACAGCTTCTGTTGAGGACCAACAGAATTTAGTTATTGAAGTTCTGTTGAGTCGGTTCCAACAAGTCTATTCAGCCAAGCAATGCCATGCACTTAAGTGTAGGCTTTCCCAAGCAAATATGTACAAACCACGGCGTGCTTCCTGCAGCTCATCCTATGGCTACGACGCAAATTCTTAAAAGGGAAGCCAACAAAGGATTGTGCCCTTTGACATGGCCTCCTACCAGTCTCACCATGCAAGTACAGTAGCACAACAGAAGGCCATGCCCACAGGTGAGTGTCAGCTTTCCATCCAGCTTATCCTGCTCCTGGACAACAGAATGAACAAGAATCAAGAATGCACCAGAAAAAAAAATGCATTTTGGGGAGCATTCCCATGCATGGAACAGGCTGCACTGCAACCGGTGACCTTGCGAGATTTGGATTTTGCCTGAGTTCTTTGCATTATTTCGTCAATCAAGGTAGTTCGTAGGTTAAAAGAACCACGAATCTAACCACTACAGCTCAATGCACGTTCACGTCCATCTTTGCCGCTCCTTCATATGCATGTAAGCGAAGCAACTCACAGTGATGATGCCAATTGCCTGCCACTGGACAAAGTCATAGTGCCTTGCCAAACCTGAGCGCTGCTTGATGACATGAGACTGAACCTTGGAACTCTGTACTCAGTAATCAACAAGCTGTTTTGTCCCAAAACCAGCAAACAGCAAATTGACTTCATCTTGTATTATACCTGGGAGCAATAAAACAAATCTTTGACATGCGGCTCTGGAAGCGCAGCAACTTTCTCAAGCAAGCTGCCAAAGAAAACATGCAACTTGCTGTGTACAAACATTCCTTCTACACATAGTTTTGCTGTTCAAACTTGGGGGGGGTCTGGAAATTGGCGGAGTCGAGGAGCAAATTGTCGACAAGATCGCAGTCATTGGCATCCGGAGCTGACCAAAGATCTTGATGGTGCCAGCATTGTGATACGCTACGGCCCTCATCTTTAAAGATAATCCAACGCTAAAGAACAAGCCTCAAGCGTGGCAACAAGCACAAGGATACGGAACTGCGGCAGCCTTTCATCTGCATGCCGAACAATATGATATCAACCAACATACTTGGAACATCTTGAAACAGCATCTGAACTTATTGGTGCAAATTCCAGGTCACAACTTGGTGCAAATTCCAGGAATTGATTGAAATTGAAGCACTGTTGGACAGCTGCAAGACCTCCACTGAGCCATTGGATCAATAAGCCCAAGACAATGGCCAAGCACGCCTCGAACACCAAAACAGTTTGCCGCACATACCTGCACTGAAGCTCAAGACCAACCGGTCAACAAGACTAAGGAAAAAAATAGTTCTCCACTGCTATGCTTGCCAAATTGTGTAGTTTTTTTGCCATCTGCACACACTGATGAAGAGTACATTGGAAACCACTCGTCGTATCATCCATCAGGAGAGATTTTGAAAATTCGGTCCTTCTGCCGCTGCTTTGAACATCAGAGGCTGTGCGTCTCTCAGCCCAATCAGTCACAAAGGCTTGACCAGTATCCACCAGAATGAAGCTGGCAAGAAGAACAAAGCGTCGCAGGCGTGTATAAATGTCATTGATGAATGAGCCCGCCACCTCTGACAACATGAATCACTACTAGTACTACAGCATGATGGATTCCCAGTTGGATCTTTGTATCCTTCAGCCCTTCGATTCTAGTCCAGCAAACCAACGAACTGAGCATTGAAAATGGATGCCTCCCCATGTGACCCTTTTGATGAATTCATTGAATGGTTCAATCATTTGCAAACAAGGCTTAAGTGAATTGGGCCTGGCAGCAAGACAACTCCTCTGCCAGCCAACAGCATCCACACATATTTAGCTGAAAGCAGCAGGGTTGCTACTCCAATCATCCTCCTCTATTTATATAATTTCAAGGTGGCCACGTGTGGAAGACAAAACAGGTCTGGTCAATGTCCTTTTGGCTGCACATGCTACGCACGACGCCAAGGCACAAAGCCCACTTCTGTGATCAAACGCTTTGGAGTGTCGCAGAAGCAAAGCAGAAAAATACACCTGGGAAGGAATGCAAAGAAAGAGAAATGGAAAGCCTTTCACAGTACCTCTCCATTCGCTTCGAGGATTGACTGGATAGATGCTAGTCAAGTCTCCACATACTACAGCATGATGGGTAACTCAAACAAGACATACTGTTAGGCAGCAAAAGAAAACAAGCACTGGTATGCCCTGGTTGTGCTTCCTGATCGAAGTCAGCGACTAAAGGTGTTCCAATCCATACGGTCAGATGGCACACATAAAATGTGTCATCTGCAAAGCAGGGAGAGGACCACCTTTGAGGGCCATCTTGCAATACATTCATAGTGAAGCCTTCCTAAAAGCCTTGCTGCTTCTCTACTCTAAGATCCACACTGCTGGGTAAAATCAAAGTATGATGAGACTCACATCATCTCTTCTCCATGAGCATCACCAATTATATATATATATATACAGTATATCGAATCTAACCTTCTGAACCTTTTGGTCCGTACAATCCTAAGATGTTTTGCGCAGGCAGCATGATAGCATTGAATACAACGATTGCCAGAAATGACACCTCAAAAAGGCCACACACACACGAAAGATCCAGCTGTTTACACAGAAACACTCAAACTGCTGAACAAGATTTGAAAGTCCTTGTCAAGTCACATGAAAATCCACGCGCGACGTCTATGAATCATGTTGCCCAACTCTCGGGGAAAAAAACCTTCGTCGCGAGCTGGCGCCAATTGGTCGAAGTCGCCTGAAAGTGGTCGGCGCGTCCGGCGACAGCAAAGGACACAAAGGAGTCAGAAGTGCAGCCGGGGAGAGCGGAGAGTTGTAGCTGTTCTTTTCCCAGTATTCTGTCAGTCATACTTCTCAAAGATTTGCAAGAAGTCCTGCTTAAGTTGATTGTAATTGTCACAACAGCACTGCTTAAGGTTGATCTTGCCAGTGGAAGTACAATGATAGGCAAGCGGCACTGCCACTTGCCAGCTTTAAATACATGTCCAAAGTTTTGAGGCGGCAAAGGAGGAAACTTGGAAACCAACCGATCTGTTTTGAGGCGATTCTGGCAGTCTTTGACAGAGGGAAGAAACCAAGCTGGGAAGTAATGAAGTGTTCCGACACCTCCTGATGAAATGTGTTTGAAAAAGGCTTTGAGCTTATTGAGTACTTCAGGCTACTTTGGCCCGAGCTTTTGGAACTGTTTTTGCTTACATACTTCCTGGGACGGTTTTATCACTTTTACACAACTCTACTCTACATCTGCAGTAGTTCAGTCCAAAGTTCAGTCCAAAGCTCTTCACCATCAGCGCCCAGGTAGATCGGGGCGAGCGGAATCACACAGCTCCATGAGCACGTCAGTTTTTGGCACAGGAATCTGCAAAAGCCTGTGAGCTCAACTGATTATACTGATTCTGCTGTTTTGTACCGATAGGTGTTCTTCCTTCCAGCTTCCTAATCTGCCTATGTCAAAACACTCCTTGAAGGCCTTTTGTTCAACCTCTGAGGTCAGATAGGGTGTGTCAAGGATGGGGATAGGGCGCGAACAGGTTGGGAGCTTGGCTTTGCACTATCTTGCACTCGTGAGTTACATAGTGCAAGAAAGGATGCCTCGTCTGTATCGGATTGCCAAGCGCATGTTCACTTGCCAGGTGTTCTTAATTTCAATGTCTTTGTCAAATGCATTCAGCAGCCATGTCCCAGCTTCAATGACTGATTCTGAAGCAAAGATTGAGGTGAAAATATGTGAAAATAGCCGCCAGACGTACTGAAGGGTAGTTTGGACCGAATGAATAGTGCGAGCGCTTCTTCAGCAATGTCCCCCCCCACCGGGGGAGCTTTCTTGGAGAAGCGTGAGCTATCCTGCGTCCTACCTAGTACTTGTGTCCTTCTTTTTGGCCTGTCGGCTCAATGAATGTTGGAGATGAGTGAAATACTCAGCCTCACAGTGGTGCTGCCTGTCATTACTCGAAACACGAGTTGAGCACTGCCTGAAGTTTGAATTTGAAATGTCTTTTAAGCATTAAACCACAAAACAAGAGGATCGGCTGACAGGCAGCACAGAGCAAAAGAACCCCTTTGTTCGGGGCATCAACAGTCTGATGTAGCCAAGTGCAACCTGCCTTTCCACCCGCACTACCTATTGAAAATCCTTCCTGGCTGTTACGGTGCACAACATGAAAGGCATTCAACAGAGCTGCATTTGATCCAGGATAGACCAGCGTCTCTCAATGCTTTGGATCTACAAACTATGCATATGCATAAGTAATCCACCAGTGATGAATCTTCAATCATACAAGGACCAGGAAGAGTTGCCTCAACAGTTTCGGGTTGCAGGTCCATTATCACTGTGCCACTGCTGCTGTCCTGGAAACGACTGCGTGGATCGGATCTCTACGGTTAAGCCCGGCTAAATCATTCAGGTGTTGGATCATCTTGCTCCTTCTACCCCTTCCTTCTGTACCTTTTATATAGTGTGCTTACATCAGTCATCAGTCCCAACCCTGGAACTCCGTTTGCGAACAGCAAAGGGACAAAGCCTTGGGATGGACTGGGACGAGATTCACACAATGCGATGGGACAGATCAACAAACGAAAGGTGCTAACGACGAACGCATGTATGGTTGGACCAAGGATGACGGGTGAATAAGGACATTGCAAACGCCTGAATACCGATGAGAGCAGTTCACCTCACCAAGAGTCCTCAAGAGAAGAGGAGGTGATGTGGGTGGAGGTGAGGTATGGTCATGGTGAGGTGGTATGTTTTTGGCACTGCTATCACACTTGCTGAAATAGCTGCAGTTGGAGAAGGGAGTGACAGAAGAAGCAGCAAGAGTGATCAGTCCAACAAGCACGCCTGAAGTCTTACTTCCAACAGCACTTTTGTTTTGCAAGACAAGACAAGGCTTTTCTACGTTCTACCAAGGACTTTTTCTATCTTCTTCTTGACTGCGGGTCCATACAAAAATGCCCAACCCAGCCCGCGCCTGCGCACGAGCTCGCTTAGCTGGGGAAGTCGTCATCGCCGAAGACGCACTCGTCATCATCATCACCGTCATCCTGTAGCTGAAGACGGGGGTCAGAGAACACCGGAGACCGGGATGGTGATAGGCATCCATGTGTTCAACTTGCTCTCTTGTGGCACCGGTTTCATGTAGTACAAGTGATGTGCAGTAGGTATTGTACGATCCTTTTAGTGACTGGAAAATGTCGTTGATTGCAGCTCTCACGGCAAGACAAAGGCGTGAAGCTAAGTGTCCCCAGTTGCAGTACTGCTTTGTGAAAATCATTGCCTTCCGCCTAGCCAAGTTGTCTACATCGTCAATCATCGTCACGATCGTGCTGTGGAGACCACGGTGGTGTAATCAACGGTTGCTGGGGAGCTGAATCGCAATCTGACTGTTGTGACATCCAACGCGATCGTGCCTCAGGGAAAAGACCCTTCTTGCGGAGGAAGTTGTTTGCCTCAAACGCCACAACGTCTATGAGGTTCTACAACAAGTGATGGATGGCAGGCTTTCAAGACACTTGCGAGGCATGCTCTCATACTACTTTAAAGCATGCTGTCTGTACCAGCTGTTTTTTTGAGAGCTGATGCCTTTCATGAAAAACAAGACCCAAGCCTCAAGGATCAATCCTTCCCTGATCTTCAGTGGGAAAACGCCCTTGTCCTGCTCAGCCGCATGGTGAGAGCTCGAGCATGTAGTTGGCATTCTCGCTTTATTCGTCACTCAAGATTCAAGATAGTGATGTGCAGCAGTGCATATATGTGCATAACTAAAAATCAAATCGTACGCAGTATGTCGCCTCTCCTTTATTAATACTGGGTTTGGATGAAATTGGCCAAGGCAAGCGCACATAATGGTACAGATTTGGATACGTAAATAGTTGCTCTTGGATCTGCTGCGCTGGTTACAGTTTGCCCAGACATGGTTTTCTATTTCGCCAATCTCGCTATGTCTTCCGTTTCAGGGGAGCTCTGTAGAGATCACCTTGAAAAAAGATTGAAAGCTGCTCACTGTTCAATATCTCGAAAATCCACGGTCTCCGGTCCGCGTTGGTGGCGATGGTTCCTGTGCAGTAGTCCTGCCAGCTCCAGGTCCGTATGTTACATGTCTGACCCTTGAGATGTGAGGATCAATCCTTTAATAATCCTTTGTCCCATCAACCAACAAATCATTTCTGTGGCAGTTAGACCATGCACCTCATGAGCATTTTCGCTTTTCGATCGAGCACTTCGATTCGAGCTGTTGATGAACACGCCAACCATACGGTTTGGCTCAAGCTGAGCAGGTGGAAAGACCGCTTGCTTTGAACGCCCCAACTCATACCTCCTTAGGTTATGAGCCCAAACCGCTAGGGTTCTAAGTCCACCCACAACCTTTGAGTGAGAGGTGTGGTTGCTGGCCGCCATGGCCGCTTTGCAGCGCCGACGCAGGCAGAGCTCCCGAGAAGGAGCAGCTGAACCCGCAGAGGCCCCTCGACGTGCACATCGAGAAGATCGAAAGAAGCCACAGCTGGAGGAAACGGCGGATCAAAAGTTGGACCGGCTGCTCAAGGAGCAAAGGGCAGCTCGGGCCTCGTCACTTCCCGCTGAAGATGATCTTGCTGTTCGACGCTTGGCTATGCACCCTACGGCTGAGGGAGGTGAACCTCAGGGAGAAGAAGAGAGGGAAGTGTGGCACTTCAACCTGGACATCATGGAGGGCATCACGATGCGTCAGCTGGCCAGCTGGCCGGGGCTGGAGGCCTCATGAGCGCCTTGCATGATCCTCGGGCTAACGCCTTGGGTCTGGGCGGATTGCAAGAAGCAGCACGCCAGTCGTTCGAGTTGTTGCAACAGGCATTAGGCCACCACATGCCGCCTTCACCGGCTCCGGGACTTTTAGATCCCCTTCTTCGAGGTTCTGACCTACCTCAAGGACCAGGTTCGGGACTACCTCATCAACCAGGTGGCGGATTCTTTGGTGGGCAAGGTTCTTTGGCTGGAACTCCACATCAACCTGGAGCTCCGCATGGTGATCCACGAATGGGCACGCCTGCAAGCACAAGGCAGGTAGAGCGGGAGGAGGTGAAACCCACTGTGCTTGAACCATTTCGCACTCCACAGGGCCCTCTTGCCACTGTGAACCCCTTCTGGACCACTTCAATTCAACAAGAGCTCGGGCTACCAATGGAAGTCCAGGACCTGGAGATGTTGAGAAACTTCGTACCCAGATCCTCAAAGAGGCGGAGGAGAAGTTCGCTCGTGAAGTCAAACGCATAACTGATGGAGCAGGTGGTGGTGATGCATCGTCGTATGCTTCCGTAGCCAGTGGTGGAGTTGATGGTCGTGGAACTGCAACACATCCTGGACTACCACATGCTGATCCCTCAGGTGCAGGTGGCCCTCCCGGGTCAGGACCAGATCCTCCCCCAGGCCTTCATGGTGGACAACCTCATGGTGATGCTCGAACTCCACCGGCTCCGGTCGTTCCAGAGGCCGTGAGGGCTTTGGATCTTCCTGCCCTCCCACTACCTTCATCCGAAGGCGCGGCACTGCAGTTTGGGGATTGGCTGACTGTGGCCTATCCATTGATGGCGGATTTGTCCTCTACCTCACAGTTTTGGTGGGATGGATGCCTTTCTGCCTCTCGTGAACTATATGAACAGTGGCTGGTGGCCACGCCCTTGGAGAGGTTGCGCCTGCGGCCAAAAGATGTCACTGTGGAGTATTCCAACCTGGAGGAGGAGCTGAACGCACAACGCTTCTCAAGAGCCTCACCGAGGTGAAGGTGGGCCACTCCGTCACGGAGCTCTTGGCAACAATGCGGCAGCGGCGCCGATGGTTGCAGCGAGCTGAAGAACTTAAAGTCACGCTGCCAGACCCGCTGATCCTCATGAATGTCCTTGGCAAGATCACGGACTCGCTGGCCAAGCTGGGAGGCAGTCAAGTTGCGTACAGAGTCTCAACTGTGCGTCAGGAATTGTTGGTTGATCAACGCCCGGAGATGAACTCCATCAAGGACCTCAGCGAGTACCTGCAAGCGGAATTGGAGGAGCTAGCTCTGGTCATCGCAGTCCCTAAGGGTGCCGCCAACATGACGAGCTCGACCACTACCAATGAAAAGACTCCGGTGGTGAAGGCGATGCAGTCCGGCACTCAAGAAGAAAAACCTCGGTCTCCGTGCAAGTTTTGGGGGACCCAACATGGCTGTAAACGAGGAGACACTTGTGGCTAGGGGCATAGCTGGGAGGGCTTGGACCGACAGCACAGGTGCTTCTACTGTTCGGGGGAGGGTCACATGGCGAAGGATTGTGTGCACCGACAACCCAAGAACTTCAAGGATGTAAGAAAGGCAGCTCGCTTGCGAGGAGTTGCACCCGAGGGCTCAAAAGAAGGCCCAACCAAAGAAAAGGAGGTGGAAGTGGGAAGTCCTGGGTCTACATCGACTTCGAGCCCATCGCCCTTGTCGCCGACGACGGTGTCTGGAGGGATTGAAGGATTCGGGAGGCGGTTCTCCGGCCAAGTCAACGCTGGAGGAGAAGCCCAAGAATGACATCGCCACAGACCTCATCCAGGAAGCTGCAACGCTGCTCAAGACGCTTCGGTCCGTGAAGACGATGCGCCTCAAGCAGATCAGTGCTCACCCTCAGGAGTTTGGGACTCAGGGGTTTGCCCTTTTGGATGGTGGGGCCACTCATGCCCTACGTGTTGCTCGACCCGAAGAACGAGCTGAACTTTTTCCGGTTGAAGTGGAGCTGGCGCAAGGCTCAACAGTTTTGTATCGCCACCCCAAGCATCGCACCTTGCTGTCCCTGACGGAGGTTGAGCCGATCATTCCTCTGGGTCTCTTGGTTGAGCGCGGCTTCAAGGTGGAATGGCGACGTTCGGGATGCAGCATCCACCGCCCAACACTTGGCCCAATCGCCTGTTGGCTGAGGAATGGATGTCCCATCATGCATCGGCAGCCTGCGCTGGACATGTTGGCGCAGTTTGAGATGGAGGATCAGGGGAGGTGGCTCTCTCTGATGAAGATCGAAGTTGGTGGCAGAAGCATTTTCCTGAACTACCACTTCCAGTTCTCCAGCACATGGCTGGTCAAAGTCAAGAACCTACAGCTCCGCCCTGGAATCGAAGGTTGCGACGGGCCCACATGACTGGAAAGGGTGTCATTGTTCACCTTTTCAGTGGAGCTGATGCCAAGAAATGGAATGATGTTGGTGGAGGCCGCTACTCATGGTTGCGCATCGACACTGAGATCAATGCAGCCCTGAACCTCCACAACCCGTCAGTTTGGAGTTACTTGTGGAAGCTGGCATCACTTGGCCGCATTGTTGCTGTCATTGGAGGTCCTCCATGCAGAACTGTAAGCCGCCTTCGAAATAAGGCTCCTGGCCCTCGTCGACTACGTGGCCGAGGAGAAGATCGTTGGTGCCTTCCTGATTTGGACGATGATGAGCAGCGCTTGGCCCACGGCGACACTGCACTTTGCATGAAGCATCTTGGTCTTTGGCTACGTGCTCAAGAATGCCGTCGTGTTCTCACGGATGTTGGAATGTTGCTGGAATCTCCACGTGACCCAGCTGAATACTTGAGCGATGAAGAAGGAGCTCGAAGCGCCTCTTTTTGGTGCTTCCCTGAAATCACGGCTTGGGTTGGAACTGCAGGACTTCGTTTGGTCACCTTCGACCAAGGACGTTTGGGCCATCAGCGGAAGAAGCCCACTACAGTCTTGACCAACCTCCCGGCCTTCGAAGAACTACATGGTCTCCAGGGTGAAGGTTGTGATGATAGTCCACTACCCACCAAGCTGGCAGATCGCATTCGCACTTCAAAGTCTTGGGCCGCTTGGGCGCCAGGACTTGTGGCTGCTGCTTGGCGTTTTGGAGGAGGAAAGTCGAAATGGTGACACTCACAACATGTCCAAAATGGACCTTGCAGCCTGGCACCGACACATCAAACAGGGGCACATTCCCTTTCGTGCTGACTGCCGAATCTGCGGCGAAGCGATGGGCTGTGATAAACCGCACAAAAGACTTGGGGGAGTGCAACGAAGTTCACTATGTCAGCGGACCTATGTGGACCCTTCCCTGCTGGTCGTGACCTTGGCACTGGAGTGACCTGTAAGTATGCACTGATCTCCACTGTTGCCGTGCCCATCATCTCAGAGCTTCCAGGCGAGGTTGCCGAGCCCTATGACACTCCAGACGACGTCAAGCACACCGAGGACCTGCCCTGTGATCCCGAGGAGCGAGAGATGCTCTCTGATGATGAAGTTCAGAGGCTCAATGAGTTGGCCCAGATTGAAGAGGCCCAAGAAGCTCCTGGACACCAAAACATCACGTTCGCTGAGGTGATCCCAGATAGAACTGTGGAGTCTTTGGTCCGTGCCCTTTCACGACTACATGCAAAGTACCACGTGCTGGGCATTCAGGTGTACCGCCTCCACACAGATCGAGAACGATCTTTTGCCTCAGTCCCAATTCAAAAAATGGTGTGAGCAACGTCAACTTCGATTGACCCTGACTGCAGGCGATGACTCAAAGGCCAACGGCCGCATCGAGGGAGAAGTGAACCAGATCAAACGTCGGACTCGACTCCTTCTACATGATTCTGGACTACCTCAATCCCTCTGGCCAACAGCCCTACGACATGCTGCAGAAGGCCGTGTGCGCCTACAACTTGAAAGATTGGGCCTGCCGAGCCCACCAATGCTTCGCTATGGAGCTTCAGTTTTGGTCAAGTCCAAACGATGGCATCGTGCTGGACAACTCTCAATGCCCTACCGCACCATGCAGCTCTTGGGACCATGCCCATACATGTCACATGGTTGGATCGCCCGCGACAAGAAGGGGCAGCTGCTTCATGTGCGGACGGCTTTGGAACCTTCGCCGGTGGCTGACCAGGCGATCATGGATTTGCAGGAGGCGCCATCAATCAAGCACCGTATTGTGGGGAAACATCCACCACCTCTACCTGACCATTCTCTTGCTGGAGCCGTGGGGGCCTTGTATGCTTGTATGATAAGTCTGACCCAGCTCTTGCTGCCTGCCGAGCTGGGGGGGAGGATCCTTTGCCCTTTTTGGACGACGTTGGCTGCTCCTTGGCACTTCAATTTGAGGATGAAGGGGAGTCGGAGGAGGTTGTTGGAGGTCTCATGCTCGATAGTCATGATCAAAGTGATCAATGTCAACAATCTGACCTTCTGGGGGAGCTGGAAGATCCCATGTTCTGCTGCAGCAGTGGCATGAACTTGAACAGCAACGTCACTGGGCTTTGAAGCAACTCTGGCGCCAAGGCCTTCGAGAAGTTGCAGTTGGCGAAGACGCTGGGAGCGTTCATGGCAGCTGGCTTCGTGAAGTTGAAATGCTGCTCCGAGGTGCTGAAGATCAATTGTCGTTTCAGCATTCCTCGCTCCAGAACTACAAGATCGCTTCTCTGGCTCCAATGGCTGGTTCAACTGAGGTTCCGGTCACGGTGCTCCAGACCTACACGGTCTCATTGCAGCAGGTCCGCAAGGAACTGGAAAAATGGAAGCCTCCCTTGCGTGATGAAAATGGCCAACTGGTCTCATCGACCCAGGCAATCAAGCCAACTACCGAAGAAAAGTTGCGCCTTGATCCAAGGTTTACTTGCTCCAGCCATGCTTGTTCCCACGGTCAAGAGTCCCCATGGACGCCTCAGAGCACGGGTGGTCATCTGCGGAAACCATCTCACCAAGGTCAACGAGGACAACGACAACTCTGCAGGTGAGATGAAGTCGAAGGGTCAAGCTCCGTATTCACTCTATGCAGGTGGAGCGGATGGAACTATGCTGCGTTGCTTGATGCGTTGCGCGGCTCAAAAGTCCTGGTCCATCGGCACGGTCGACATCAAAACAGCATTTTTACTTGCACCACGTCCTGATGAGCAGGAACGTTTGCTGGTTGCTCGCCCACCTAAGGTGCTCATTGAAGCTGGGATTTGCCCGCCAACTGAACTTGGATTCCAAACAGCCATTCCTAATATACCAGCTACAACCTCTTTGAGCCTAGAACAAACTGACTGGTGTTCATCTTTCTGCCCAATCCCTGAAGACACACGTGCTCCTAAAAAGTGAAAAAACTTCTGCCATGAAGCCGGGTTATTGGCTTCGTCAGCAAGTCCGAGGGCAGTTCAGTGCCAGGACATGCAAGGTGCGCCAACACTGCTGCTGGATGCGCTCCTTGACCACATAGGCCCTCAGCCTCAGATGCCTCGTGCGCCATGGTCCATCCGGCGCAACCAAAATCTTTAGCCCAGTTTGCGAATCACCGCAAAGGACCTGCTCTCCTTCGAGGTGGAGCTTATGGTCCTCCAACACGTTCACGATGGCCGCCACCGACTCGCCCATCACGACTCCATCAACATAGCCCATCAACTCCGATTCGGCGCTGGAGAGGGTGGCGAACGGCTGCTGCCGACTTTCCCATTGAACCGGGGCTCCATTGTAGGTGACCAGCAAACCTTGTTGACCTCTTCCACCTTGGGGACCGTGAGAAGCATCCGAAAAAACCCGAACACTGGGGAGCTTGGTTGTCTCGGACTCAATGGAAGGAGCCTCAAACACCTGTTGGGTGTAACACAGCTCATAGTCCACGGTGGAGTGCAAATACCCAAGCATGTGAGCCCCCCCATTCCAAAACTTTTCCAGGAGCTTTCGTCACCAAGCGGCCCATGATGGAGACTCCATAGCTGAGGTCAGGTCTGGTTCTGCCGCTGAGCCAGAACAATTCACCAACGAGAGCCTGGGCTTTGCGGACCTGTTCAATGGAGATGTTTTCCTCCAGTTCATCTTGTACGCCAAGGGGCAAAGGAGTTTGTCTCGACTTGATACCTTCGTGGCGTGCAAGGAGATCACGGGTGTAGGAGGCCTGGTTCAAAATGACCTCACCTGGGCGGCACTTGATCTCAAAACCGCAAAACTTGAGGGACTTCTCCGAAGATGCCCATTCTGGTTCTGAGCAGCGCCAATGAGCCCGGATTCCATCAATCACTGCATGGGCGAGGGAACTTGGAGCAGCAACCAGCATGTCAACGTACACTGCCAGAAAGCCTTCTGAGATGTCCTCCTCGGGAATGCCGGTGGGGCATGTTTTGATCAGCTTCCAAAGGTTGGGCTCTGGCGTAGTGACCAGTTGGTATTCTTGACCTCCAGCATTAAAGCGCAGCTGAGGTAGTTCACGGTCACGATAATGCGACCAGTTCGCAGGAGCATCGTTCAGCCCGTAATCGACCCTTGCAGCCATGACCATGGCAGCTGTTCGCGCTGAGCCGCTGCCATGGACCACTGCCGGACCTCACGAATGGCCACAGTTCAGGCTTCCTCCACGAGGCCGAGATCGGTGGGGACGCCTTCGCGATGGCTGGTGGGTTCGACACCACGTCAAACCAAGGAAGAGACCTTTCCACCCCGTGCATCGGCAGACGCCGTTTGATGCAGCGCAAATCCGCAGTGGTCGGGTCACTGTGGTATGGCTGCATGGTGAGAAGACGGTGGTGGAGGACGACTGGCGCAATGGCACCAGGCCTATGGTTCCGACAGAGGAGCAGTGGGTGGGCTACAGCTTTTTCCGTGACAACCCACCTCAACCTCCGCTGCCTGAGAATGCCACCTTGGATTCACAGACGAGCTCTTCAACGCCTGCTGGCCAGACGACTGGAAGCTCCTCGACGCCGACTCCACCTGGACAGTCGCTGTCAACCTCGCAGGTCAGCGCTTCATCGGGCCCACCGCCGGTCCGACCAGAAGATGAGTTGCTCAGAGGGGATCAGGAGGGTTCGAAGAGGCTCGACTGATGGCTCCACGGGGACACCTTCAAGTACCATGTCCTCGACGATGACGGCATCTACTCGCGGCATGGATGCAATGGAAGCACCTCTGTCCCTTGGCTATTTGGGCCGTGTGAGAGGACAGGAGATTCGTGGTGAGAGGACTGCACCACAGCAGATGCAGGTGCCACTGGAGGAGGAGAGATCCGATTGGATCCTGTCTCTCCACTCCGAAGGCCTGCTGTTCGCCCGGCATCCCAATTTGCCGGATGATGCAACACCTCAGTGGCTGGGCACTCAAATGCCTGCGGCGCCGCGCTCGCGCCCTGCCGGCGCTGGACGACCAAGTGAGGGCTCCCGCTGCTGGAAGTGAGGGCTCAATGCCCGCTACCCGAGGTAGCCAGGGTCCCATGCCCGTGAGTGAGGAGTGGGATTCTGATGGAAGCTATGAGCTTCTTGCAAACTGAAAGGCTGACCGAAAAGGTCTTTTGGCCGATGGAATGCGGTGGCGCACCGCAGGGGGAGTGTGGCAGTTAGACCATGCACCTCATGAGCATTTTCGCTTTTCGATCGAGCACTTCGATTCGAGCTGTTGATGAACACGCCAACCATACGGTTTGGCTCAAGCTGAGCAGGTGGAAAAGACCGCTTGCTTTGAACGCCCCAACTCATACCTCCTTAATTTCAAAACGACGCAACAGCGGGGGTAGACAAAAACCACCGGAAAAGATCCATTTTCCCACATTCCCCCCCCACACCCTGTCTGTCTTTATTGTGATGCATTCCATGTCTGAGGCGGACATGTGGCTTGAGAATCGAACAATGGCCTGCCTTGGCCTTGCTAAGGATCTTGTGCCCTGGCTGGGTGCTCAAGACCTTCTCAAGCCATTCCTGGTCGAGCTGATGATATCTGCAGCACGAAAAAGAAGGGAGAAGTTTAGAGTAGAGCCACTGGATCTTCCAAGAACCACCGTACTAACCGGAAAAAATGCAATCTTTGACAAACTCCAAGAACCAATGATCAAACACTTCGACCGTCCTTTGTCGTCTGACCCTTCTCTGTGAGTTGGGCTGGCTTTTGCGCACGGAGCGTCACGATGGGTGAGAAAAAACGCAAAATCAACAAAATGATGCCATACAGGAGATTGGTGGGCTTGTTACTTGGGTGACTGAAGTGGGAGATCGCAGAAAGTCCATGGACTCGTTTAATGCTTGAGATGTCTCACTTCTATAGTGTTTCATTATTGGTTCAAGGGCCGACCCCAAATGATACACGACTATAACATACACATTTGGAGCGAGTCCACTCTTCCAGGACCAATAAGTTCAGAATCGCCGAGCTTGCGATCTGTTCCCCAGGCAGCACAGGTCTCCAAGCCTCGCAAACGAGCTCCGGCTGCTTCTCCTCAGGCACGTAGGCCAGAACGGCCAACTGCTCAGCGCCAGCTGAGAAGACCTCGCACAACCGCCCCGCGTGCAGCGGCAGGTGTTAGCACGGCTGATTACCTACCTGGACCTACCTGATCATCCTGATGGGGCTGTCGTTCCAAGTTGCTGGACCTTTGCACCAAGCCTAGACCTTTGATCGCTGAATATTGGGCGACTTGACCCGGCACAAAAGACCGTGTTGTTTCTCCGTTGCAAAGTTGCAAAGACAAGCTGATCGACTCAAGAGCGAGTAGGGACGCAAATCGTAGTCACTTCTTGTAATTTACAGCCAGAATCGAGCCGCCTGTGACATGGGGTGCCCATGCAACTAATTGTCTCAGGTGCACGCCATCTTACCAATGTGTCCAGAGCCGCCTGCAATCGAGTTATAAAATACAATTATATAGGACAATAGTAGTTTCAAAGGGGACGCGGCTCAACTCCATTATATACCATTACATACCTCTCAAAATTCAGTTGTACAAATGATCTACATGAATGGCGGCGCCTTTGCGCTCCTCCTCATTGGGGTCGGACTTGGCATTCATGGCCTGGCAAACATTGTTAAGGGGACCTGTCACGTCACGAGTTGAATTGCACAGTGGGGCGTATCCTCCCCTGGACCTAGATTCTCAGCAGCCTTGACAGAACCCACACCACTGGTTAAAAGAGCAAGATCAAGAGGCATAACAGGAAAACCCATCAAAGT